AGGAGAAGCATGGAGTTCTTTCCCAAGGGGTGGAGGGAACTGGGTAGTATGGTACACAGCCTAAGGCTAGTGGCTTTGAAGTCAGGCTGACTGGAATCCTGGCTCCCTCAGTGAGTGAGGATAACAGCATTACCTCCGCATAGGGCTGTCATGAACATTAATCACACTAACACACGTAAAGTTCTGGGGAAAGTGCCTAGTACACAGTAAGCATTCCAGCAGTCTCAGTGCTAACGTGCATCCTGTTGAGCCTAACATGAGGAAAATAATTCCTGCTGCATGGAGAGCTCCCCTGGAAGATTTCCGATGGAGAAGTCATAGTGTAAAGCCTGGACATTGTCACCAGGATTGAGAAGAAAGGTTTTCACACTGACAAAAAATAAAAGTCCCACAACAAATCTCAAAACTTTCCCAAGTTCCAACGCTGCGGAAGCTCCCACTCCGTTACTCCCTAATAACTTGCGTCGCACTTCTAGAATGCTCTTTCCAAAGCACTTTGTCAATGCTACCAGCACTCTGAGGGTGAACTCACTCTTCTCTCCCTCACATACTTATTTTTTAATCTGTTCAATTAAAATTTTTTTTATTAGTACATGTTTGCAGCATATAATGTTTATATTCCTTGGGAGGCTGGTGTATGTACATAACACACCATAATTCATTTTTCCATCCCTTTTCCCTCCCCCCTTCCCTCCATCTCTTATAAATAAAGAGCAAATAAAAGGCACATAAAAGAAAGTAGGGAGATAGATGTTTCTCTCACATACTTACTGATGCACCAGACTCAGACCTTAAGACAATGGTGAAAGAAAATACATGGTCCTTTTTTGGGAAGAGTATTAGTCTGTTTTTGCATTAGTACAATGAAATACCAGAGGCAACTAACCTTATAAAGTGAAAAGTTTTGTTTAGCTCGTAGTTTTGGGGGTTTGTGCACAAGATCAGTAAGTCCTGTTGGTTTGGCCTTTGGTGAGAATGGCACATCCTGGCAGGAGAATGTGAAGAAGCAAACAAGTGACTGCAGCTGGTACTTTACAACACTAAGCTACATCCCTAGCAAAGCCCACAGCTCATTCTAATAACACCAACCTGAGGGAAAAAGCCTTTAGCACGCAGACCTTCAGGAGACAGTGTACCTATTCAAACCATAGTATGAAGAAGCAGAGAGTCTCATGAGGGATATGCTCACCCACAAATACATATAGTATCCCAAGCATGACAAAGAAAGAAAGGAAGTGGCATTGTGGGAAGGATGGGGACCTGAGTCAGAAACAAAACCTCCCTTACTCTACCTTTGTTTCCTAGTGTGCCATTGTGATTTGGGGTAGAGGGGTCAGCACTAATTCATTTGTTTATTTTTGCGGATGCTGCGGGAAATCACTTTGAGGGAGGTCTCTCAGAATGCTTTACTCTGTGTTTCAAATTGCCCAAGTGACGTCAGGCCTGGATTTGAGCCCGGACCCTGCCCTTTTCCCTTCCCAGCTCCCTCCGCTCCCTCTGTTTCCCCCTTAGCATCATTGTGGGCAATGGGTCCTCCTCTGCCCAGGCTGCTTCCAGGATGCCCTTTCTCCCTGCTGTCATTCAGGCACTGTAGCTGCGTGCTCTGGGCCTCAGTGCAGCAGGAGAGGAGGAAAGGGAGGCACGAGTGCCGGTCGAAGTCACTACGGAGCAGCAGAGGTTTAAACTGGACCTGGGAGATGTAGGATTTAGCAAAGTGCATGTGGAGAAATAGGGCCTGGACTTTGGGGAGAGCTAATAACCAGCAATGACCAAAACGAGGTTACTAACTGTACAAGGTGGGATGTTAACCTGGCCAGGCAAGGCAGGGGCTAACGGTGAAAATGCAAATAATGCCCTTGACCTCAAGGAATTCTCTATGAACTGAGTATTCAGAAACACACAGACAGAAATTCTCTTTAACTATTCTTCAGCCCAAGGCACAGTACTGGGCACAGAATGGGTCCCCAAATTCAATACCAGCCTGACTGGTCGGTTTACATTCCTTTTTCAGCCAAGAGACGGTTCCAAACTTTCCATCCTCTGCCTCCTTCTTTGTACACTTAGGCCGCATTTTCCATGTGCCTTAACATAGTTTAACATTTTTATTGTATTGCTGAGGCCACTTTAATTTATCACTTTATTTTAAGGAAGCGCGTTATCCAAAAATAGCACCAAATTACTCATGATATTGGAAGCCTCCTTATGTGAGACCTGTAATATTTCACTGATCTGATCACTGTGAACACAGGCCTGACCTTCTGAGTTCTAACAGTCACGAAAGGGAGCTGCTTGCTTTTTGGAGTGAGTTTTCAGCTTTTTTACCACTAAGAACCATTGAAGAACGTCTGACCAGACAGAGAAGCACTACAGCAAGGCTGAATTCCTGCCTTGTCCAGATCAAGGCAGAGTGAAAGTTTGCCAAATGTTGACTTACCGACCCTTCTTTCTCCTGAATTTCTGCAATGTCATTTCTTGAATCTATTTTTAAAATGTTTAGTTTTACATTGGCTTGCATAATGTAAGCATATAAATAACATAGTTTAGGATTTCACTAGAGTCTGGAAGATAATTTAAAGGGAGAGTTTTTTGAGAAATTTAAATTAGGGCTTTTTCCAGAAATTTTGCTGGGATTATTTGTGATTGCTCTTATTTTCATAATGATTATAGTCCCTCTCGCCTTTCACCTTCTCTCATGGACCTAAGACGGCTTCATTTGGGTGGTCTGCCTTGGAAAATCACCATAATGGAATATATATGAGGATTAGGCATAGAAATGTCAGACCTTATTAAATCTCAGTAGTCAAGTTCACTTTAGTGTTTCACATTACCTCTTTAGACTCTGAGACCTTCCAGAAAGGAAGAATTCTCCATGTCCCATAGGACATGTATCCCCTCCCCCAGTGTCAGCAAAGCACTGTCTGGGGTCAGTCATTACTGAAGACTGCAATATTTTGTTGACTTTTAAAAATTCTATCTCAGAGGAGACCTTTGGGAGATTCATGCAAACAAATTCTGTTTAAGGAGGGGAAAATCAAGTTATTATTAAATACCCCAATTAAACCACAGAAACTGGGCACTCATAAGCCTTGTCCCCCAGGAGCTCAGAGAGCTTTGGATGCATTACTTTCTTTTATTCATCCTCACAGGAAACATTAAGAGGAAAAGGGGATCAGATCACTTCAAACAATCCTCCCCGCATGTGTGTTTGCAGGAGTATCCTGTTTATTTCTTGCTTCCCACACTAGGCTCCTCCAAGTAAGTAGAACTGGAGAGACATGACCAGGTTTGGAAGGGCTTACGACCAGTGTTAAAGGCAGAGAGCCCAGAATAGGACACTGGGCAGGGTGTGAAGGCAGCGCTGCCATGAGAGTTAAACAACGGCCCAAAATCCACTATGCGGGAGAAGGAAAAGGCATGAGCATGAGCAAATTATTTAGGACTCCACAGATGAGCCTTCCTCCCAGCACGCACCTTGCTTTCTCACCTTCTGCCACCAAGGAGAGCTGCTGGCACGTGCTCTGGTGGCTTCCACGTTATAGACTAACCTGCTGATCAACACAGAGGTGTCTTCCTGCGGGCGGCCAAGGAGAATCTGGATGGAAGGCTATGGCTGTAAGGGCAGCCAAGCCAGGCTACGTAGAATAGTGAACCCGCACCTTACCTTGTGGTCAGAATGATGATGAACACTCTTAATGGGAAAGTTCCTGATGCCAGAGTTGTCTCTAGGCAAAAAGTAAATCTAGAGCCATCTCTTCCCTTTTGACATCTATATTCTGCCTGGAAAGTTAGAAATCTTCACACATTCAAACACACACAAACACACACCCCTTTTTCCAGGCCCTTAGTGGCCCCCAACCACTTTGCTCAGTTTATTCACAGTTGTTTAAGCATTTGTTGGCTTTGTCAGGGATATTTGTATTTACGAAGGAATCAAAGAATAAAATTAATGCTTTAATGGGAAATTGGCAAGTCAGGTGGAGAAGGTACTTGAGTCATAGTTGATCCTTCTCATAGACTCATATTAGAGCAGAGTGCAATCAGTAACTGTTGTCCCCATTCAAAAGCAGGGTGAGACTGGCACGAAAGAGACCTGAGTTCCCCCAGAAGTCTGCTGTCATTCACCAGCCCAGCATGTGGCCCCCTTGCCTTTCTGGGTGTCAGTGTGCTTCTCTGCAGAAGGGAGATGTGAGGAAGAACCAGTCTATCCTGGTCCCTGCTCCTCCTCCTTTCCCCCTCCTTGCTGCTGCTCCCAGAGCTTGGAGACCCTGTACGTCTCAGAGCGCAGCTGTGTAAGTGGGTGGAAGGAAGATGAGTGTTTAAATAAAAAAATTATTACAGTAAAAGACACATCACCACTGATCCCCTTTAAATACACCACCACCACCCGCAAACACTCTGAGCACACCCCACCATCCTTGCCATTTTTTTGTTTTGGAATCAGAAATCAAACTTAGGACCTCATGCTGTCAGGCAGGCACTGTGCTGCTGAGCTACACCCCTGACCCATCCCCATGATTTTTTGAAGCAGTTTTCTGGAAGTCTTTCATTAAGTGTCTTTTGTGCTGTCAGGGATGTCTTGGTTTCCTGGATCAATTCAAAGCCCTTACCTTTCCTGATCATTTTGACTTTGGGATGCGCCAGGAGTCACATGGTGCCAGATGTGGTGGATAAGATAGATGAGGACACATCATGCCATTCTTATTAAACTACTTGTCCATTGGATGGCACTCAGCAGCAGCGTTCAACACAGTTTAAATCTCACTTCATAAAGGCACTCACAAATGAAAACTTCCAAAAATGCTTCAGAAAGTGGCAAAAATAATATTTGAAGAAAGGGGGAGTATCTTGAGGGGAATTAATGGCAATGTGTCTTTTCTTATGATAAATTTTTATTTAACTATTCACCATCATGTAGTTTGATCACACCTCTTTCCAGAAGATGAGGCCATCTCTCCCAGTTACCGTTTTCTCTGGTGCTACGGAGCTAATTGTCAAGATACCTCATTGTTGACTTTCAAAATTCAAAAAGTCAGCTTCAGCTCTGGTGTCTGACTCACTGCTTTAGACACACCTCTTCGGCCTCCCTGTGGTCCTTTCCTTCCCTCTGGTCAGACCTGCAGCTAGAAAAGGGCACATCATTTGATTGTATCAGAGCTTGTCTGAAAGCTATCAGGCAGAGCACAGGTAAAAATGTCAATAAAAGTTTTAAGTAGAGCCTGAAAAACAGGTATTGTTCTTTTTCAGTCTGCTGGAGGCTGCTGCCAAGATCTGAGTGATCCTTAGAGATGTGATGAGTGTGGGGAAGTTCAGAGAAGGGAACGATAAATACTGGTGTGATTTGTGTTACTGCAACCTTTCTGAAATACTACTGTTAATCTGTGCACCTTTTCCTATGTTCTGATGCTTTCCAGGAGGTTCATAGCCTGATGTTGGCTTAAACACAGATTTAAAGGTGCCTAGATCAAGTGCATACTATGTGAAGAGCTATTCCCCCAGAGTCCTTCACTTCAAGCCACTCAGCGTGTCATCCCTGCTGCCTGCCGATCATGGTGCTACGTGCTGATGATACACAGCCAGCTCCTTCTGTCTCCTCGGGGACAGGTTATATGTGGGTATCTTTAACACATCGTAGGATACAGAGAGGCCCATGGAAGCATGGAGGAGGTGTCCTCGACCTACCATGGTGGGAGGGTGGGAAATTCAGAGAGATGAAAAGTGGGGACCGACTTGCAAGATGAATGGCATTACTCAGGTGAAAAATAGGGAGGGAAGAGCACTCCCAGTCGAGGGCCTCCCCGCTTGTGTATTTTGGACAGAAGGAAGATGGGTGGTGGGGTGAAGGTGATGGATAGCAAGAAAGGGGATTACAACCTCCCCCTCTCCCATTCTGCTCGCCTTTACTCATTCTTATGGAGGGAGAGAAAAATCACATTTAGAGATTTTTTTTTTAAGCAACTTCAAGGTGGTAGATTAGTATTAAACAGTACAGGAGCAAATTGAGTAAAACATACAAACACTTCTTTCTTTGCCATTCTTTCCATTTCACTCCCATCTTCAGAAGGTGAACATCTTTCCAAAAGTTTATCTGTGTTTATATATGTGCACATACATGTAAACATACATAAAATACAGATTCATTTTATTTAAAATATTTCTCAGATATACCTGTGTTTGCACGTATAGAGCTATTTTATTCTTTTTAATTACCACACAGCATGCCATAATGTATGAATATACAATATTGTATTTTTAAACCATTTCCCTATGGATGGAGCTGTGAGATTATTTGCCAGCTGAGTTTCTTTGGTTTGTCACTGTTAGAAAGTCTACTCTAATATTCCAGGTTTCACTGAGACAGTCTGGCCTGACCCCACCTCTACACTCTAGAGGGAAGTGTTGAGCCTGTTCTGCCTCAGTTTTCTTTCAGGTCTGATCTTCTGCTGGTGAGGAGGCAATTGTAGCTCTTGAGATTCCCACTCTTGCCTTTTCAGGCTGAGAGTGACAACTCACAGGCAAGTTGTCTCAATAACTGACCATGAGCTTGAGAAGAAAAGCCTTTCTTTTTCTGATCTCATATCTTCTGATCTTTTCCTTTGTGGAGGGATGTTTCTGCTAAAGATTAGAGAGGGAGGAACCCTGAACTGTCTTAACCTTTCTCTCCTATCCAACAACTAAGAACTTTTATGTTGAACCCATAGAAAGTGCGCATTTGTTAATGCCGAAATTAGGGAAATCATCTTAGATGAAGAACATGTACCTGTCTCTGGGTCAGATGAGACATCAGAATTTTGCCTGTCCTGAAGAACACATGTAAAAACAAGGTCCCTGCTTGGTGTCCTGGGCATAGTCTCCTGGGTGTGCCCAGGAACCTGAGACTCCATGAAAAGAACTGGTTTCTAGGTGAGACTAGCAAGAGCTATTTCCTAAGCACAATATTTGACATACAAAACCACATTTAGTGTAAGGGAAAACCCCCAACCTCCTGGCTCTCGCTTTCCCCTACTAGGTCTGGTTCTCATCATTTACCTGTGTAGAGAAGGGAAATACGGTTGCTAACAAATTTTGCTTGCTAAACAATGGGTGTAAGTTTTAACCTGTGAGTTTCATAAGTGTGTTGCAGATATAGAGACACAGAAATTTTAGAGTGGATTTGGAGTAAAACTTAGCCTTGCTGCTAAAGAAGATTGCCTAGGTAATTAGGTAGACAGCACAAATGTCTTGGAGTCATCTTTGCCCTAGGGTCCAGAGCAGGATTTTTCCAAGCCATTATCCTCTATCTATCTCTGGATGTGATCTCTTTTGCAGGTTGGGAAGTGCTCTAACCACTTCCAATCTGCCCTTTTCCCCACTTCTCACTCTCTTTGAAAGAGTTTGAAAGCAATTGTTTGGGTCTTTTGATACTGATTTAATTTTGCTAGCAATGCTTCCTCCTTTAAACATGACTGTTATAGTGGAAATCAACTGTAGCTTGGGCTTTTTGAAACACAGTTTGGAGTTAGCAGTATGAGTTTCAGGAGAAGATAGGAGCCCAAGTTAATAAGAGTGGCAAGTCCAACCTGACTCACTCTCCAGATAGCAACCACCTGCTCTGGAGCACGTCACCTCGGGTGATGCCTTGAGAGCAAATAGAAACCAAATAGGGATTAAAAAGGACACCTATTTTCCCCTTGTTGTTTTGCAGATGGGAAACTCAATTTCAAATTCTCTTACTCCTTTTGAATGTACTCTTAAGCACTGGAAATTGTTTGTTCCTCACATATTGAGAAAGAGCTGTTTAATATTTTTCTGCACGCATGCATGTCTGCTTACCTCCTAGAGGCAAAGTGGAATGCAGAGGAAAAGTATTGATTATGATACTGTTTCACACCTGGAACTGTACCATAAGAGAGAGGGAGAATGGTCAAAATTACCTTCTGTTCAGACTTTCTTTACAGTAAGAGACAATTCTTACCTGTGTTCGAAGTCTAAATGTAAGCCCAAGAAAACCAGACACCTCTGGCCCTTAAGGCACAATCAGATACATCTATTATTCCTGAGGTTCCCCTCACCTTCCCTCTGAACTCTAAGGGCAAGGCTTTCAAACCAACTTTAATTGGTTTGAAACTTTAATTGGTTTAATTGAAGCCTCTACAGGGCTATATTCAACCCTGTCTGATTTTGTTCAAGCTCCTCAAGGACAATATCCCTTATAGTAGGTGGGTAGAGAATTTGGCCTGATCCATGGCCTTTTCTCTCAGTGACCTCAAACAGATCAAACAAGACCAGTAAAGTTTTCAGACAACCCTGACAAGTAGGGGACTTACTCAGACCTATAAACTAGACTGGAAAGATGTAATGTTACTCTTAAATCAAACATTGACTTCTAATGAGAGACACGCATCAATACAGGCTGCTATTACAATTGGAGATGAGAATAGTACTGTTAATTTTAGAAGGTCAGAAGACAGGCAGCCAGGGGAACAGCCAGTTCCTACTGGAGCCCAAGCAGTCCCTACACAAGAGTCCTACTGGCCTAGCAACCACATGGGAGATTGAAATAGGAGATGTCTTCAGACATGTATTCTCCAAGGTCTGAAAAGGATGAGAACTAAGCCCTTACTTTAAATTGTCAATTCATGAAAAGAAAGACCAGAACCCCTCATAGTCTGTTTTTTAGATCATTTACAAGAAGTATTGATGAAACATATATCCTGGCTCCTGATTCAGTACAAAGACAGATTATTCTTAAAGACACATTTATTACTCAGTCAGCCTCAGATATTAGGAAAAAGCTACAAAAGGTGGTTTTTTCTCCAGATAGCTTACTTGATACTTTAGTCAAAATTTCCTTCTCAGTATTTTATGATCAAGGCCAGGAAGAGGCCAAGGGGAAAAAATAGAGACCAAGAAAATGTGGCTGCTTTGATTTCACCGTTAAAAGAATAGACTCTAAGTCTGTTTTCTCAGGGCTCCAAGACTTCGATGACTAAATTCACTTGCTACTGCTGTGGAAATCCAGACCGCCTTAGGAGGGACTGTGATAAGAACTGTAAGAACAAGAGGGATGCCCTGAGCCATGCACTGATTGCAAAGGTGACCACAGGAAGTAGGACTGCCCCCTGAGACAAAGGTTCCAGGGATCAGGCCCATCTTACCAGCTGGTTCAGTAGGACTGAAGGGTCCTGTAGCATTGTGTTTCTTCTTCTGACCAAATTGCCATCTCCACAGAGGAACCCCAGGCAATCATGACAGTAGAGGGAAAAGAAACAGCCTATTGCTGGACAACAGTGTTTCTCTTGGTTCTTCTTTGCAACCCTGGCCTTCCTTCCTGCTGTTATACCTCAGTGGAAGGAATCACAGGAGAGGATGTAACTCACTGTTTCTCACAGCCCTGAGATGGCTTTCTCACCTCCCATTCCTTTTTGATTGTGCCTGAAAGTCCAATTCCCTTCCTGGGGAGGCCTTATCTTGCTTGAATGCTGTAATATTCATGCACCCGGGTCAAGTATGTTGCCTCCTTCTCATAGAGACAGGAATAAATCCTAAAGTATGGGCAACTAAAGGTAAAATACAAAGAGCAATAATAGCTGCTCCAGTGCAAATACATCTTAAAACCCTACTATTTTTCCTCACTGGAGGAAATACCCTCTAAGGCCTCAAGTTAAAAAAGACTATTGCCTATAGTTGACAACTTAGGAACACAAGGTTTACTTACACCCTGTAACAGTCCCTGCAACACTCCAATCTTGGAAGTCCAGAAACCCAGTGGAGAGTAGAGGTTGGTACAAGACAGATTGGTAAATGAGGCAGTGATGCCAATCCATCCAGTGGTACCTAACCCATACACTCTTCTTTCCCAGATGCTGGTTGTTTTTTACTGTTGGACTTAAAAGATGTCTTCTTTTGTATTCCTTTCTATACAGATTCCCAGTTTCTGTTTGCCTTTGAAAATTCTCATAACCAGACCTTTCAGTTGACTTGGACAGTTCTTCCTGGAGGTTTCAGAGACAGCCCTCATCTTTTAGACCAAGTACTTTCCCAGGACTTAGCCTGTTTTGAGTTTTCCCAAGTCATAGTCCTGCAACATGTAGATGATATAATATTATGCACCCCCTCAGAAGAGCTCTCTAGCCAAGGTACC